TCGCTCTCAACCCAACGTCCCTCAATAGACACCACCAGATTGCAAGGGGCCCCCAAGGTCTGCCTTTTGCAGTGTTGCCTGCGCTTGCCCTGCTGTGCGTGCACCGCCGAACGGGGCGAGAAGCCGCCGCACACATGAAGGCACTGCATTGATTGTTGCTGCTCCAAGTCCTCACAGCCCGGCCAACTCGCCCACCTGCACGTCATCCCGCTTGGGGTAGCTGGGGGTATGCAACAAGCCCTTGACCCGACTCTGCTGCAGCTGGGGGTGGAGCGGAAGGACCTTGCCTGCGTGCGCCGCGACCTGCATGGCAGCGCCTTCTGCCGCACCCACCGGGTCATTACAGCTCGCCGGGCGCCTGAGGGGTCTGGGGCGGAAGCGGCGGCGGCCAGGGATACACGCGGTGGCCAAGACCAGGCAGCGAACCGTCGGAAGGGAACCAGACCCCCATGTTGCTTGGTGCGCAAACAGCCGCGCGGGTCTCACATCTGTCTGCTCAAAGTCATAGACGAACCTCGTGTGTGCGAGGCGACACCGTAAGGGGCAGCCTGAGGGCGTCACCTGAGGGTCCCTAAACGCCCAGTGGGGGTCCCCAGGTCCCCCACACCGGTGGGGCATAGGGGGAAATGGGCAGTTGCCCCGACCCCCGCGCCCGCCCGTAAAGCATACTGGGTGCCCAGCGCCCGGTCCACTCTACTCTACTCTACTCTGCGAGGCAAGCGGTCCCGTGCAGTGTTCTCAGTCTCAGTGGAGATCCATTCAGGCACAGCGTTGGGCTTGGCGCAGTCGGGATTGGAGCCTAGTGATTGGTGATATTCACGGGCTGGCATGCACATAGTTGAGTTTTACAGACTATCAGGTGTACAGCAGCGTTGCTTTGTGCTTGAGCGCGTTCTTTGCAGACTGCAGCTGCTGCAGCTCATTGGCGTTGCTTGTCACCGTAGTCACAAGCGCATCTCGCTCCGCTACTGCCGCACGCCGCGTCTCAAGTTGGTCGTCAAAGAGACCCGCCTTGTGAGACAGGACCTCCGCCTCCAACCCGCGCTGGCTTCTTGTCAGCTCACTGACTGTGTTGAGAGCCGCTGTATTGTCACGGGTGAGAACCAACAGCTCCTGCCCACGCGCCGCCGCTTGCATCTCCAGCTCTAACAGCTGTTGAGCATGCACGCCCTCCTGCAGATGTGGTTTGCAGGTGGTGCAACAAGGCCAGCACATCAGCAGGCAAGCGTTGCTTTGCCACTTGGAATTTCTGACCGTCCCCCAGTACTTCGAAGCCTAACGCCAAGCCCGCTGCTGCTGTAATCAGAGTGCCATGTGCATCCCCTCCAAATAAGGGATGTGCATCCCGCCTGTAATGGGCCGGCCGTTCGCATTTCTGACTGCACAAGCATAATGGCATGCCTACCTGTTCCTTCAAGGCCCGCCTGAGCTCATCTGCTGCGCGATTTCGTGCGCCGATTGTGTCCAGCAGCGCGATGTCGATCTCCTGACCAAACTTGAGCATTTGCACGTCGCGGCACCGCGCCCTCTGTTCCAGCACGTGCTCATCCTTCGCTGCCCGCTCCTCTGCCAGCTGCACATGCTTGCGCCGAAGGTCCTTCTGTGCCAATCGCAGGGCGCCCTTCTCGTCCTCAAGGCCCTGCGTTGCATTTGCAGCCAGATACTTCAGCACAGCTTGAATTCAGTACACAGGCCATAATCTAGCCGCAAGGTTAGTGTTCCGGCATAATTAAAGCACAGCCCTAGACCGCCCACCCGCTCGCAACTTTCACACCCGACAACGGGCAGCGTCAGGTCCACCGCAAGTCAGGTGTCTCCCCACCCGGCCCTCCCTCACCTGAATGCGCAAGCTCAGCGTGGCGAGGCTGGTCTGAGGTATCACCAGGGCGTCAGCGAGCGAGCCGTCCAGCGGCGGCCGCTGCTCGTCAAGGTATTGCACTTGATGTGCGCGCAGTGCCACCTCTACCGGCACTTCGTTCAGGCGCGCCTGCTTCTCCTTTTGGAACTCAAGCATGTCCTGCACGTTGTTTCGCAAAGCAGATGCGGGATGACAATTTAAGTCGAGTATCGTGACCACCAAGTTCGTTGGTGCTGTCAACTGAGCAAAGCTGAGGGTTCTGCTGGCTCTTGAGCACCATCTGGCAGGTGGTGCTCCATTGCCACCCGCCCGGCCGGCCCGTTTGTCACATTCGTGCCGTGACTCATCTTCCTTGTTTGGGGTACAAGCGGTAAGCCACTGTGTGCCGCATCCACCCGGTCTTCCCCTTCACCTGATTGATGGCGGAAAGGCTCTGCTCGATGACGCGCCCCTTCTTGGCCAGCACCTCGCGCTCCTTCCTGACGCCCTCGGCCTGCTTGGCCACGTCAGCGCCAGCATCCTCCTCGTCCAGGCGCTGCTCGCGCAGCTCGCACACTTTGTCGTAGAGGCCCTGTTCACAGCCAGGAGGGCACACCTCAGCGCCACCATCGCCATCATCGTCCAGGTCGTCACCCCCGTCCTCGTCAGCGGCGTCAAGGTCATCGTCATCATCACTCGCGCTGCTCGCATCGTCGCGCATGGCCGCCCCTGCTCGCTTGCTGGAGCGCTTGAGCTTTCTGGATGTTGGAGCAAGGGGGTGAGGAGGGCAAGTGGGTACACAAGTTGAGAAGCACATAGTTTCAAAATGGACCGCTCACAATATCAAACAAACGATGTCAGGTATATTTGTGTGCATGGCTCAGCCGCCCAGCCAATCACCCAGCCAACGCAACCCAACTCAACTGGAATAGCCGCACCCCCCCAGACCCCCATGTTGAAGTTCACTTTGGTGTAAACCACCCATGCCTGTCCTCCTGAACCCATTAATGGTTGCCCATCCCACTCACTTGTTGAATATGTGGGCCAGCTGGTCGTGGAAAGCGTGACTCTCTGGGATGAGGGAATCGAATTCCGCAACCGCTGCCGCCCGCGCTGCCGCGATGCTCTCAGCCTCGGCACGCTTGGCGTCCAGCTGGCGCCCAAGCTCAGCCACCCTCCCCTGCAGCTCGTCCCGCTCTGCCGCCTTGCCAGAGCACTTTGCCAGCAGCACCAGCTCGCGCGTCTCAAAATCCTGTGGGAGGGAAATAGTTAAGTTAGGGTTGAGTGTTGTGAAATACAATGCAACCTGACCGGGGTCGCAGACAGTTATGCGACGGCAGGAAAGGGAGGAATCAGAGTTAATCCACTGGGCTCTTACGTGGGAAAAAATGCTTGGTTTCAATCTGCATAGCACTCCGTTCCGACTACCCCCCCCCCCCACCCCCCCTGGGAAAGGTCCCCGCATGTGCCCCGGGTACCTTGAGAAGCTGCAGCTCCTGGTAGTGCACCAACTGCCGCGCTTGGAAGGAGCTGAGGCTGCACGCCAGCTCGAGACGCTGGCCCCTGAGACGAGCGAGAGCAGCATCAAAGCTGCAGCACAGCTCGTCACTCTGGAGCTGCAGCTCCCGCCGTTCGGCCTCCAGCCGTATCCGCAATGCGGCCGCCTCGGCCTGCTCCAGCCCAGAGGGCGGCAACGGCGATGCCAGCAGCGGCACGGTGCCAGCAGTGGCTGCGCCCTGGGTGGTGGTGCCCGAGCCGCCTGGGCGCAAGGTGGTGTGTCCCACTGCTGTATTACCAGCTGGGTGCACCCCTGCGCGCTGTGCTGACGAGCTGCCGGCTGGTTCGTGGGAGGTCTTGCTATCACACCCACCTTGGCTGGCCTTGCTGTTCGCCCCAGCCGCTGCAAAGCCACCAAGGCCGCCTGCAGAGGGCACACCCTCCTTGCGCTGCTGCTTTGCCTGCTTCCTGGCGATGTGCTCAGTAAGCTGCTGCAGGCTGATGCTGGAGCGGCGCTCCTCTGGCTCCTCGTCCGGTGCCATTGTCGGTGTGGAGCCTGCGACTGTGTTGACATGGGCAGAGCGAGGAGCATTGCACATGTGTGCCAAGACAGCATTGGATGTGAGGGATACACGAGGAGAGGACATACGTACACACCAGACGTGAGTGAGGAAAGAGCACGTGACTAGTGTGGGAGCTTCCAAGTCAATGCAACCACCCCCCCCCCCGCATAAACATGCCGCTTCTAGCAAGCCCCTTTCCAAGGAGGTGGACCCACCAGGAGCACCCAGCTGCTCATCAATTGCCTTCAGCCGTGCGCTCAGGGACTCCAGTCTCTGCAGCAGGCGGCGCTTGCCATCTCGCAGATCCAGCAGGTCGCGATTGAAGGCGGTGCACGCCCGAGCCGCGCGGCGTGCCAGCACCGCCATCTGCTGTCGCTTGCGCTGGGGCGTCATGCGCTGGTCCTGCGGTTGCAACGCAGTGCGACGCATGAAAGCCGCGCAGAGAGCCAGGATGCACAGCAGCTGGTTGTGTTGTGCTGCTGGTTGGCAAAGACATTCCTGAATCAAGGTCAGCCCATGCTCTATGTCAAGGTCCCAGGCATGCAAATGCAGGCAAACGCAGGCAGGTGCAGGCACTTACACTCGCCGCTGACTCTTGCCCCTTGAGCCGCACCTCATCAGGGACATAGTCAGGAGCGCTGCGCAGCCGCAGGTCGCCAATGGTAGCAGCCGCCTCCTGCAACGCTGCGACGTCCTCAGGTGCCTCAAAAGCGTCATCTGGCTTTGACGCCATCAGCGCTGCCCACTGCGCCTCGCGCTCCTTGCGTGCGGCGCGCCGCAGGTTGACCTTGCTGGCAGCTGACGGTGATGCGTCCAGCCCGCCAGCCCCTGCAGCCACGCTGCTCTCCCCGCCCACCCTGCCGCCAACGCCCGCGGCGCGGTGGTCGATTGACACCTGCTGCTGCGGCTTGCTGCGCTCATGGCGCAGGCTGCGTGCCTTGCCGCCACAGCCGGTTGCTGATTCGGAGGTGTCATCAGAGTCGTGCAGCAGAGACAACGATGACTGGGTTTCCGCCTGCAGCGGGGCAGAAGGGCGGAGTCAAATGTAAAGGGTCATTCAATAATAAACTATGGAGAATGTGTTGGAATTAATTGGCTGTTCGTTGGCGCTTGCACAACCCCCAGCTGTCAACAGGCACACATGCAGCGCTCGCTCCACTCCATGCTAGCTCCCGTGCACCCCTCCCACCCCCTACTTCCACCCCACCTGGACCTCTGGCGGCAGTGCAGGCAGCGTCAGGCTCTCCACGGGTTGGCCCTGCTCGCTGACGGGCCGCAGGACGAAGTTGGTAGAGGCCAGCTGGGCTGAGAAGAAGACTTGCAGCCTTTGCAGCAGGCTGGCCGCCACCTCTGCGTCCCAAGCCACCTGGGCCTGCGCGTCCTCGAGCTTGGTGCTGCGCTCTGACTCGGCTAGAGCCAACAGGCCTACGGGTAATCAGGGAGATTGCACACAGGGCGTTGTGTGCACGGAATCAAGATCTGCAATAGTATCTTGGTGCGGGGTGCGTGGAAGGAGTGCAATCTAAGCGCTGCTGCAGTCTGCCAAACTGAGCAGCCCTTGCAAAAGGATGGAGGTGTCATGCCCTTCTACGCCTTGCCGTTTCTGCCATTGGGCAGTCCTCACCGGGGTCAATGTCGAAGGCTGAACGTGGCAGCTGGTGGCCTGGTGGGCACGAGCTGTTGGCCTCCAGCAGCGCCACAAAGTCATCCCGAAGCGCCTCAAAGTCACCCCTTAGCCCTTGCCGCGCCTGGGCAGCCTGCTCCGCCAACGCATCTGCAACAGCCGCTTGCTTCCCCTCCTCAAATGTCGGGGCACCGGCTGCCAAATCGAGCGCCTGGGGGATGCGTGATTCGGCCACGGTGGCGAGCGGGGCATCCTGCCCGGGCTGGCGCCGGCACTTGCCCAGTGAGCTCACATTTGTGACCATCAGCGTGCCGTCCCGCGCAGCACTGATGAGTGCGCTGTCGTCAAAGGCCATGGACAAGCCGGTGACAGAGCCGGTTTGCATGTCATGCAGCCGCGACTCCCAGCAGCTGCAGGGTGCGTGTTGCGAAGCGAGACAGGACTGAATGTGGGTTGTAGGGGGGTCCTGCAGTTGGTGTCTGACAGGGTGCGTCAATAAAGGCGAATTGCGATGCCAAGGTTTCTAATGAAAACAGCAGTCGGCCATTTGCAGCTCGCACAATATTCGCCTCACCTGTCCCCAAGGAGCCCGGCGGCACCGCCAGCAGTCTCGACCCGAACCGTGCCGTCAACCGAGCCCAGCAATCTGAAGCGCCCCGACTGGCTGGTGGTGATGATCGTGGTGGGGGCTGAAGCGATGGACGGACCACAGCAGCGGGGCACGGGGCTGTCAAAGCCGCAGTTCCACACGCGGCCGGCGCCGCGGCCACCCAAGCAGAAGCAGAAGCAGCCGTCGTCGGCACTGGGTACTTGCAGCCACGTGACGGGAGGTGCAGGCAAGCTGTCGCCGGCCCAGCAGTCCTGCTCCATGTCTGCCAGCCGGCTGCTGGTGGCTGCTGCAGCCACCAGACCGTCCGCTGCATCAGCTGGCCCACTGTCCACTTGCTGGCTGCTGCTGCCCTCTGAAGTGCCAGTGCCGTCGGCCCTGGTCACGTCCCCTCCGGCTGTGCCTGCGCTCTGCTGCAGGCTTGGCAAACGCCTTGGCAGCTTGATGGTGCAGGTGCGCACTGGCAGCTGGAGTTGGTAGGAGCTGCGCAAGAAGACAGGCGGGGAGTCATGCATACGGGCGTTGATGGTGGGTTGCCTACTGTGCATGCTTCAGCTTCATTGCTGGCAGCAGGGCGCAACCGACCATGATGCAGCAATCCAGAGAGCGTATGGCTGTGTTTCGCAAGCCTTCATCCTGCCATCACCTGGTGGTGTCATTGTCAACGCCTGGCGCAGTAATCTCCACAACAATGCCAGAGCTGCAGCCCACAACAAGGCGCTTGCCACCGGGCGCCCAGTCTGCGCAAGTGGGTGTGCCGCTGGCCGCTGGCAGGCAGTAAAATCCAAGCGGGTCCCACTGCTCAGGGCTGGGGCTGCTGAAGAAGTACACGGTGCTATCGGCCGCAACGGTCGCCGCACATGCGGCGCCGCGCGCCACCGCCACTGCCACGACAGATGCCTTGTGCGGCCGCTGCGCTCCCAGCAGCAGCCAGCCGTCGCTGCAGCGCTGCACGCGCCGCACAGAGCCGTCGCCAAAGCCAATGGCGAGGCAGCAGCGCGTGCCCTCGGCGACCAGGGGCGTCATGCAAGTGGCCGGCGAGCCGAACCGCCGCGCCTGCAGGGTCGCGCCACTCGTGTACTCGACCGCACGCACGCTGCCGTCGGCGCCAGCCGTCACTGCCACGTGGCAGCCAGGCAGCGCGGCCACGCCGGCCACGCAGCCCGCGTGGCAGTCGAAGAAGCGCGTGCAGGCGTAGGCGCCGGCGTCCAGCAGGTTGAGGGGCACACTCACGCGCAGCAGCCCACCGGCGTCGTCCGCCACCAGCCAGGTGCGGCGGTCCAGCCACAGCAGGCAGCGCACGCGGACGCCAGCCGGCAGCACCACCTCTGCGCTGGGCTTGACCACCACTACTGGCGCGCCGACAGAGCCGCCGCCGCCGCCACCACCACCGCTGCTGGCGCCTGGTGCCGCCGCCTCTGGCGGCTCGGTGTCGATGCGGCCCATCTCCCAGAGCCGCAGCACGCCGTCCGCCCCGCCGCTGAGGACGTAGTCTGTGGCCTCGTCGTGGACCAGCGCCTCAACGGCACCGCCGTGGCACGGCGCGCCGCCAGGTCGCGCCACTAGCGCCTTGATGCTGCCGGCGTCCCACAGCAGCAGCGCCCCGCCCTCGCTGCCCGACAGCACCTTCCCGTCTGGCAGCTCAACAAACGCCGCAATGTCGCTCAACTCCAGCGCACCAAACTTGCCCAGGGCTCCCTGCAGGACCAGGGTGCGCGGCTGGGATGTTAGAGCAATGGGCTGTGGGCGTTTGGATCAGCCCGTCAGGCAGCCTGACGCGCGCTGCTGAGACGCGTGCGTTTTTGCTAACATGCCAGCCGCTTGCAACAAGAACAATGTACCGCACTGCAGACGCACCGAGTCCCTTCCCGGGGCCACGCACCTGCAGTTTGAGGCCTGTGAATGTGGACGCCATGCGCCAGAAGCGGATGTGGCCCGTGCCGCTGGTTACGAGGCGTCCCGAGGCGAAGGGGGAGAACCTGACGCCGTACACCTCCTGGCTGAACGCCTTGGCGCGCAGCACCACAGACGCATCGCGCCAGGACCACAGCGTCAGCGCGTAGTCGGGGGCTCCCCCTACTGCCGCCAGTAGCCCGCCCTCGGCATCGAAAGCGGCCGCTGTGTAGGCGTGGTCTGTGCCACTCGGCAGCACGGCGGCCACGGCCAGGGATGGCCACTCGTACACATAGCTGGCAGGATGAGGGGGCACAAGCAGAGGAGTCGGCGCAGCGTGCGATAGCGGGGTTGCCGCAGAACCAGGCCCCTTCATGCATTGAGATGCTCACAGACCTCTAGCAAGCTGTTGAAGGTGATGGGCCCATCCTCAAGAAATACACCGACCCCCTAAAGCTCCAGCCCGTAGGCACCGTCGCCGCTCACATGTTTGGGGGGCGCCCCTGGCACTTTTCGGCAACTGCAAAGCACGTGCGCTTTGGATGCAATGCCACTGCGCCGATGCCGCCGCCGTCGCGAGAGCTCAGGTGACGCTGCGTCATGCTGGGGAGGTGCAGCAGCAGCAGTGCGCCGCCCGCAGCGAGCGCAAGCGTCTCGCCGTCGAGCGCCACCATGTTGTGCCGTCTGGCCATGTCCAGGCCCAGCACATATTCCAGGCGGCAACCCGTGCCGGCGTCGGCTACGGCGCCAGCTCCATCCAGAGCCGCGGCCACACGGGGACGGGGGTCTGGCGCCCTGTCGAGCGACTGCAGCAGCGACGGTGGGTCCATCGCCGAGCCGTGCTGCTATCGGTGTGAAAAGTGTCAGGCTACCACTCGACGGCCCGGATGAGAAGCTTTTCGTGGACGTGGTGCGCTACGCAATAAAAACCGGCAAGACATGGCCCAGACACGATGGTCAACTTGGATCGAGCATGTGATCTTCCAGGCCTTGCAAGCCGACAGGGTCTGAATCAAACTTGTTTGTCGATAAATTAGAACAACTGTGATTCAACAGTAGTTGCTTGGATACCCACGAGTGATCTGGACCGCTCGTCGAAGGATGAAAATCAGAGATAATGAAATTTACCGGCACGCATGTGACTATCATCGCTGACGCACTCCTCCCAAGCACGCCACCCGTGCCCCGCGGGCTGCCGCGGGCCCACGCTTAACAGGCCCCCGTTGCAACACCTCGCCCTTTCCGTTGTCACCGTGTCACTCTTGGTGAGTGTTTGGTGACGGTGTGCTGTTTCCATGACGCCGCGTAGAGCCAGTGCTGGGATGCGACGGCTGCTTCCTTGCGTTGTCAGCCTTTCAGCGACACCGCTGTTTGATTTGTGTTGCTGTAGCAGCGGTCGTTCTTATGAGGGGGTGGGCCATGGGGCTGCAGCAGCTCCGATGCAGTATGCAACTATGCGAGTGCTGCAGCGCTGCCGACGACGGCAGCTGTGGGAGTGGTGGCAGCAGTGTGCCTTGCGGTTGAATGGAATATTGCAGCAACAGGTTGGCCTTGACTTGGCCGTACCTAGACCCTGCATCGCCGTATCGCCGATCTGGCTAGGGCGGAGGGCTGGATGCAGCGGGTGCGGAACCAGACGGTGTGCCTTCACCTGTGTGCTTGCCGTCCGCTCACAGGCCGTCGTTTCAGAGCCGCAGCAGCAGCAGCAGCCATGGCCAAGTCCAAGAACCACACGGCGCACAACCAGTCCAAGAAGAACCACCGTCACGGCATCAAGAAGCCCGTGCAGGTGGGAGCCTGTGGTCTCAACCCCTGCAGTTGTCCTGCGCGCACGCGTCTCCCTGGCCGCTGCACCCGCGCAACCTCCCGCCAACGCACGCTGCGGCATGCCTGGCATGCCTCCTGTCAACCCCCCTTTACAAACTTTTATGCCCTGCCCTGGCCTGCCTTGCCGGCTGCAGCACAAGTACATCAGCACCAAGGGCATGGACCCCAAGTTCCTGCGCAACCAGGTGCGGCGCAGCAATGGTCATATGCGGTCCACAGCGGCAGCGCAACGCAGCTTTGTCAGGCAGGCTGCGCTGTGTCAGGCGAACCAGCAGCAGGCCTGATTTCATAGTGGAAAGGGATGTGCAGGTGGTGGTTAGCCACTGGCGATTGTGAGAGGTTGTGAGGTGCAAGTGAGGGGTGCCTGTTGGGCTAGGATGGCGATTTGGTGCTGCTAGCCAAGTCCTGGCACCCAGTCAAGCGTGGACATGCATCAAAGCAGCTTGCAGATGCCGTACATGCATGGTTGTGCACCGCACAAAGCTGATACGCCCCCTTGATCCATTGCTATCACCGCACACCCCCTGCCCCTGCAGCGCCATGCCAAGAAGCACAACAACAAGAACAAGGAGTAGAGTGTGGAGCCAGTGTTGAGCTTGGCAGCTGGTGCTTCATGATGTGCCGCAGGGTCTCCTTGTAACTCTTGCTGTCGAACTTGGATGTCGTGATTGTGGCCGAGGGGGCGAGTTGTGCCCCATGTCGTCAGCGGGCTATGGATTTTGGCTCGGTGCGCTTGCCAGGGGGCAGCAGGGTGCGCACAGGCGAGCAGCATCCGGACAGAATAACACTGAACTCACTCGCCAGCAGCAGCACCAAAACGCAGCAGCAACAGCACCAGCATCAAAAGCAGCAGCAGCTTCGGCACAGCAGCTGTAGCGGAAACAGCACCATTATAAACAGCAGCAGCAGTAGCAGCAGCAGTGCAGACAGCAGCAGCAGTCGTGAGTGTACTGGGAAAAAGCCCATCAGTCCGTGGCTTTGGAACTGTCAGGGATGTCGCAATTCTTGTTCCAGTTGTGCAGCAGCATTGGTTGTCACTTCGCGCAATCCCTGACTGCCAAGTGAGCATCACAGTGCCCTTGTGTGTCACCAACCGCTTTGTCATCTGACAACCCTCACGCGTGGATCCTGTGCTGCAAGCCCCACTCAGGTGGGAGTTCCTGTGACCTTGTACGCCTGGGTAGGGCGGACAAAATACGCAGATCCCAGAGAAGAAATGGGGCCACGCATCTTATCCTGCAACCACTGACGCACGCGAGGCTAGCAAACCAGCACACGTGTGCTTTGCGACCACACCGCCACGTGTGCTTTGCGACCACACCGCCACAGACAGTGCCTTCGTAATTTTCTTTGTGGCGTGTGCTGTTCAAGACGATGTGGGGAGTGACTCCTCACCAATTCATCCAACCCGCGCAATGCAGTGCTGAGTACTACAGTATTGCATATCAGGCCTGATATCACCATACATCGTGAGCACGAGACGGTGTGTCACCATATGTGAAGTCATCCCTCATTTACACTGTGCAATAGAAGAAAACAGAGTGCGCTGCAACTCTCTCTTGACAGGTGCACGACGATTTGAAGGTGCGACAGTTGCGCAGCAATATCGGCGCCTGCGCGAACCCACGCCGCCAACCAGCCTTGGGGTTCCGCTCAGTACCTGAGGTGTGCGAGGGTGGGTGAGACCAACAGGGAGTCAAGGGAGGCGCTATGCTGACTCGAAATGGCGCCCAGGCATTGCCTTCACTGTCACATCTATCCAGCACACGAACAAGGCAGGCCGCAGCACGGCCCCTACCCACACAACAGCAGGCCCTCAAGACTCACTTGTAGCCCTTCTCGTAGGTGCGCTCGCCGGCGGCGGCGCTCTCGCCGCTGGCGTCGTACTGGCCGAGCTGCGCGTCGCTGTTGGCCTTGGCGCGCTTGAGGAGCGCCTCCTGGCCGGCCGCGAGGTTCTCGGGCTTGCCCTGCCAGCTCTTGAGCACGCTGTTCTGCAGCGCGCGCGCGTAACTGAACGACACGTGCCAGGGGTTGGGGCTCTGGTTCATGGCGTTGAGGTTGAGGGTGGCCTCCAGCTCGGACTGGCCGCCGCTCAGGAACATGATGCCGGGCACAGCCGGGGGCACGCGGCGGCGCAGCAGGTTGAGGGTGTAGGTGGCCACGGTCTCGGGGGAGGCCTTGACCTTGGCGTCAGCGCCGGGGGTCACCATGGCGGGCTTCAGCAGGATGCCCTCAAACAGCACTTTGTTGTCGGCCAGGTACTTGAAGGTCTCAGCCCAGACCGCCTCCTGCACCTCCAGGCAGCTGCGCAGGGTAGGGGCGGTTGCAAGAAAAAGGAGTCAGCGGAGAAACAACAGACTCGGCGGGAAGTACATCGCGCCTGTGCTCTCCTGTCGCTGTGCTTGTGGCTGGATGTGCACAGGCTGCTTCAAAACAATGGCCAAGCTTTTGGTCGGCGCAAGGAGGGCTGCCACTCCAATCCGATCGAGTCTTGCGGCATGTGCTGCTCAGCCCCAGCCCCCGTTATGACGCCGAGGCCCCCCCTGCTCACGCGTCGATGTCGTGCTCGCCGTCCAGCAGCACCTCGGGCTCAA